TTTTTAATTGAGATTTCCACGTTGCTGCTTCTTTTATAATGTAAAACAAATCTAACTCTATGCATTTCAACACAATACAAAAACAATTTGTAATTTAATATATTTAACAACATTATGAGAGGAATATAAGATTAAAATTAAACAAATTCTCTTAATCGCATGAAATATTGATTTTCGACAATTAAATATATGATTTTAATACTTAAGCTTTAAACAAAAGCTTAACGCTAAATAATGATTTATTAATAAATAAAACAATATTATTAGAAATAATAGCTTCCAGTTTTACACATCCAGTTTACTTCCTTTGTTGCTGTAATGTATATAAAAATTCTTTTACTCTATTTTTCTTAAAATTATTGTCAAAAATGATACTTGAATCTTTTGAATTCTTTGTTTTTCAATCTTCGTTTACTCTGTTGTCATTCAAATTCAAAGTATTTAAATTAATATTGTGATTTTGTGAGTTTCCATATATGTACAATGAATAATTAAACTATTCCGTCTGTATAAACTCACCTTTTGATATAATTCAGGTATTTATTATTGCCAACGTCACTCAGCAACCATCCTTTAACCTTGATTGAGAAACTCCACCACCTGGGGCATATCCACCTGACTTTGTACCTTCGTTCTATCATTTATTCCGGCTAATGCGAAACTCGGTATGTTGGCGCTTTCGCGATGTGACAGATATGAAAGTGGATTGATTGCTTTATTGCCTCCCGTTCGTTATCTTCTTTTCAGAAAAGAATTTAGAACTAACTCGTGATATCTCAGAAGATTATCAAAAGTCAGACGATACGTTATTCTAAATGAATTATATCCACGATATTGCATTTATGTAAATTTAAAATTTAATAGTTATAATATTATTGAAAAATAGTTTAACAAAGAGCTATACAATATGTTTGAATAATCTAATATTTATAAAAGAATCTGTAAGATTTCTATTTTACTAGTGTTCTTCTAAAATTGAAATATATAAATTGAAAAGTTATTTCACAAAACTTGTCAATGACTTGTTTCAATTTAAAATTTATTTTCTGAAAAATTATTTATTAATATTTCTTTAATTATTCATGCAGTTTCTCTTATAATTTAAGATAGTACATTCAGAGCAATGCTTATTTAATAATATGAAAAGTTTAATTTTTTGAATATTATGATTGTACAAGAATTATAATTTTCTACGTATTTATAGTCGAATATATATTTAGAAATATTTAGCATATCATTATATTATCTAATAATCTCATAATATTATATCATATATATATATATATATATAAGCATTTAGCATTATATATTTAACATAGCAAAATGGTGCACTTTTCATTACAAATTTTTCACTATATATAAAATAAATAAAAAATGCATTTATCAAATAAATGAGTAATTTACAATTTATTTTAATGATTTACAAAATTTAATAATTTAACTGCTAAAAATCTTAAGGGTAATAATAAGTTTAAATCGTTAAAAATCAGCAATTTACAAACCTTTATAAAACGTAGTTAATGTTGTGAAAAGTTATCGTAAGTTGCTTAAAAAAAAATTTTTTTACACACTTCTCCTACTGACCCGATTCTAAAGGAACCGTGCACTGTTTACTTATTCTTGTAATTTCAAAGTAATAACAATAACAATCACTATAATAATACAACAAGAACAATAGCAAATGAAATAAAAAATTACAAGAAAATTTATTTGGAAATGTCTTTGAAAACTACAGATTATTTTCATAACATAACATAACATAACATTGTAAATTGTTAAACTTATTCATTAAAATTTTCAAATCAATGTAAAAATTAAAAATAAGCAATGTAAAAGATATTTATTATATATGTATATATATATATATATATATATTCAATGTTAATTAATTCAATCTTATGAATGTTGAGCGAAACAATTTCATCAACTATTTTTAAAAGAATGAAATCAATCAACCGAGATAAAAATTATTCAGTCATTTTTTAATTAATCGAGTCGTATATTCACACGTGCATTTCACTTGGATACGAATAATATACACATATACAAGTGAAAAAACACGCTGACTATAACTTTCTACAAATAATATACTTTGATGCATGCAGAAATGTCAAAATATTTTTTCACCATTTTCATAATGTGTTGTTAATTAAATACTCTTTTGCAAATTTTCAATTTAGAAAAAAATAAAAACATATAAGTATGTAAATTTATTCAAAATTATAAAAGAAAAAGTCGATGTGAGTGTAAATACATTGTATATTATAAAAATAAAAGTTAAATATCGTTGGTATGTAAGTTTTTCTAGTAAAACTATTAATGTACTATTTATTATATGAGCCTCTAACAAAAATCTATCAGTCATTCAAATTTTTTAAAAAACTATTTTAATTTTTTTTTGTTATTTGATGATATTAATATGGCGATTAATAAATCTTCGCTTTATCTTGGAATATTGATAATTTATCGACACACTTGCATACCTGTTATTTAATGCACAATTACATAAAGGCATAAATTTCTTCACGTTTAAAAATATCAAGTTAATTACTCTTCAATAAAATAGAATATACAATTAACATTGGATATGTGATATAACAGTGAGCACTGTAATATTGAAGTGAGACGATAAAAAATGACCATCCAAATAATTTAATCTTAATATTTAGCTTTTTTTTTCAGTACAAATTATAGTTTTGGTTTTATTTTATTTCTAGACATATTTCATAATCTGATTTAACTTTCTTTTAGTTGGCTGCTTTCTATATGAATATCAAGTATCATCAATATGGAAAGGAAGATGAGACGAAACAAGTTATGAATTACGAACTGAGAAAGCTTAATACAAAGTAAAAAAGAATTTTCTTTAAACTTATTCGATACTCCACTTATTATGAAATATAATAAAAGTAGGAAACAGCGAAAAAATGTGTGCATGTATGTTATAAATGCAAAAAAAATTATATGTTATATTTGTCAATTCTTATGTGTTTTATATTAATTCGGACGTGTTCTGCGATGTGCATGTATGCATTGTTTTACGTGTGTACGTGCGCGCGCGCGCGCTCGGATACTTACACTTGCACATTTAAATGAAATTCTGATTTTGCTAACAATGAAATTATTGGTTACGAAAAAACGTAAATTGAATGTTATTATGAAAAACACACTATGACTAGTGTATTTTATTTAATATATTATTTTGACAAGTCAGATGGTTAAATCTAACACTAATTACCTTATTCTAATAAATTTTAAATCATGTTTTGAATAGGATTAGGAAATAGAAATTCTTTAAGAGTATATATATATATATATATAAACTATATGAAGGCATTGAATTTTTTTCGTACATATTTTACATTGCATTCATTCTTGGAAAGAAAGATCAGGAAATGAAACCTGTGTCATTCCTACTATCCTATTCTGGAAAATGATTTCCCTACGTAAGAGCCAGTCTTATTATGTTCTAGTGGCGCACTGTTGGAATTGAATTAAATGGTTGATTTCGATTTTCACAGCGCAACGCTTATTTTCTTTAATAATTGTATAACCATTTTCATAACGTTTAAAGTTCAGTCGCTTAAACAAATTCTAGCAATACAAATAATTAATAAGAAGAATCGTATGATAAATAGATGAGAAATTATTTGTTTTAGTATTTATTAATTTTTTGTCATTACTAAATGTAATAGTGAAAACAATCTTATAGAAGTGCATAATTTATATAAATCGGGATTCTTATGATACTGAGACATAAAAATAAAATATAATTACGAAATAGGCGAAACAATGTTTCATTGATCCAATCAAATGAAATGTATCGATTGTTTCTTCTCATAACAGATGAAGCGTAAATACTTAGAATCATAAATGTTTATGTGACATATAATCCCCATAGGCTAAATTAATCTCCTTATATTTTGGGAGGGATGATAATATTATCTTTGTATAGTTTATGAAAACAAAATCCATTTCTCTATTGAGTATTATTAAGGACTGAATGTATATTTAATTTGAATGTAATGAAGAAGGTAAAGTGAATTATTAAGTTAGATTATAGTCATATCGCTTGAAATTTTAATATTCCTTTTGATTATACTCGTAGTTAACCTTGCGTGTGCATGCCAGATAGACTATCATTTAGAATAACTCTATTCGCTATAACTAATATTTCAAAATTTCTCCATGACTTTAATATTATTAATCTTTTGTATAACAATTTTAAACCAACAACAAAGCATTTTATTGCAATATAGCTAATTTATTGTGTGGATTGGAGGTTTTTGCGTCGTTTGCAGATTTTTGCGCGTAACAGTTGATAAAAAACTCTGCATTAATTCGGTTGAATTGGTCTTAAGTTCGTTTGTAATGTAATTAGAATTAGGAGATTGATTTGATTGTAATTGATTTGATTAAATTTGCGTCACTTTATTCATCAAATGCAGTATGAACTATTTAACTCATTTATCATTATAAAGTAATTGCGCAGAGGGTATTACTAATTTATTATTAATTTTAAGTTTAATAAAGAGAAAAATTGCCGAAACCTTATGTCAGTACAGATAAAGTTTATCGATAAAGTAACTGATAATTGGCAATAAATGTCGATCACTTATCTTTTACTCGGGATTTTTTTTTTTTTTTTTTCGGGGTTTTTTTTTTTTTTTTTTTTTTTTTTTTTGCAAAAGTTAGCTATTTATTAGCAAATAATTCTTTCAATTATATGTACCAATTGTTAAGCGATAGAAGGTGAAAAATTCGTTTGAAATTGATTAGATAAAGGATACGAGAAGTGTATACCAATTATATGCTACGATATAAATTACCAATCAATTATTCTATTTCATTATATAGATTATTAATACGATATTAGATTTGACAGAGATGAACAATTTATTAGAATAAGAATGATATTATCTGATAATAGTGTAATATTAATAGTTTTATTTAAACATTGGCATTTATTGCAATATTTTAGATATGTTTATATATTGTAGATGACTGTCCGAATTGCGCTGATGAAACGATAAGCTCAAGGACCACGAAATGGACTATGCCACTTTTAAAACTTGGCGAGAAGCGCTATTATTTAGGAATTTTCTTTAAGGTAATAAAGAAGCTTCCGACATTCATAAATCAAACGTAAATCTATGTGTGTGTGCGTGTGTGCGTGTGTGTGTGTGCGCGTGTGTGTGTGTGTGTGTATTATGTATCATAAGAAATTTGTATATATAATTAGAGTGAAATTCATATTATTAATTATAAATATCTATTGTTTAATTATTTTTTGAATTATAACACATTGACATATTCTTTTTTCAATAATTTAATATCTCAATTCTTCAATATTGTAGTAAAATTCTATTACGACAAATAATTTTTATCTCCAGTTACTATAATACTGCAGACTACAAGTTGCAGAAAGATTTAATTATCTTAATTGTTTTCATAGTCTGATTATACAGTTGTTTAAGCTTATTTCATAAACGACATTATAACATCAACGATTATCTTGGAACTTATTTACATTAAAATAATGTCCAAATAAAGCTATTAAAATCATAAGTTACTAAGTTTCATAGCCACAAGAAACCGGGCTCTTATCGCTCCTTCAATCTATAATTATATGTAAACAACACTTCTATTAGAGTAAAATTTCCCTCGTAATATGACTATAACGTCCATTATTTATAGCAACGAGTATCATCGTGTATAAACAATAACCTCGTTTCCCTGTCATCTTTATCGGCTCAATCCTGTTTGCTCCGTCCTAATGAAACATATCTTTTCCTCTTAAAGCGGGATAACTGAAATGACACGCATATTTTTCGCAGGCTAATTGGTACAAGGCGGCCCAGTACTGTCGCTATCATGGTATGCACCTCGTTAGCATAAGTTCCCAGGAAGAGAATGATAAGCTGGAAAAGCATATAAAGGACTTCGGGCTGGGTCACGAGCACTTCTGGACATCGGGCACCGATCAAGGCGTGGAAGGGGCTTTCTTCTGGATGGCGAATGGCTGGCCTATCACTTTCGAGAATTGGAACGCCGGCGAACCTAATAACTTTCGGTATTTACAGCATTCGTTTATCGTGATAGTTTGAGAATCGTATATTTTGGTCCATGGACGGATTATACATTGCGAAATATTGTTGCGCGTACCAGTAATATATATGTGACTAATGTGAGATATTTGAGCGTCCCCGAGCATCCTGCATCATTAATTTGGGTGAGAGTCTGAATGACCGTTTACGTTATTGAGATTGATAGGCTGTAGTTGAAATTATAGACAAACGGCAATTAAGTATAAAAAATTCACTACTCGCATGGTATTCGCCATTACTTAAGTATTTTATAACATACGAATGGAATAATTATTGCAGGATATGGTCTAATGCACGTAAAAAGAATTTCTTATTGGTTTAAGAAAATCTTGAGAATAATTAATTCTACGGGCTTCCGTCAATTTTTCGAAATAATACTTTTTGTTATTTTTTCAGGTCAATTACAATTTGTAAATCAGAATCCGATACTCGCTACTTTACTTAAGCACCTTTATTATATAAATTTAATTTAATGCGAATATTATTCGTTAGAAATTGATAACAATAAATTTTCGATCTTTCATTTTATCATTTCTTTTTTTCTTTCGATAATACATATCATATACAAGAGCACTAATGAACGAAAAGTTTAATGATTACAAAAATCTATAGAAAAAAGTAAAGTTAATTGATATTTAGAAGTTCGATAGAAAAAGCAATATGAAATTCTTAATCTCAAGGCGGAAATTTAAGTTTTCTTATTTACTAATTATCTTCGGAAAATAAAGGAATGAAAGGAAAGAGTTGCAAAGAAGAGTGCATATCTTTCTCGGATCTACCTCGGGAGCTTGGGTAATGTTCAATGTATATTCCTTGGGACTTACGCAAAGACGAGGCTAATCACCGTCTCCCAATCGGACATGAATTAAACGATGTGTAATTAGAACATTAGAGCTTTCATTTCGTAATTATTCTCGTATCACGGATACGTAACAAGAATTTTTTAATTCAATGCAATTGCTGCATTGTACTGATTCTAATTTATTTGAAATTAGAGTACTTTTTGTATTGACGTGCCTATTACGCTTACATTGTAGCGTTCGTGTTATGTAATTTACACACGCACGCGCGCACACACACACACACACACACACACACACACACACATATATATATATAATAAAATAATCAAACGTCTTTCTGTATAGCAAATTATAATAACGTGCAAGAACTTTGATTCAAATCTACTTGACTATATTGGAAATAAAAATATATTTCTCATTCTTAAATTCTCGAATTAAAAAAAAAAATCTTAATTTTAACATAAATTCTTGATTGAATGTCATCGAATCTAATGCTGCATTTCCATTAATAATAGTATAAATTTTCAAAAAAAAATTTTAAATTTTATTTAAGGGGCAATGAATCAGCATACTTAATTAGTATTAAATAGAATATAATATATAAATTACTTTCACGAGTGTACAATTTAAGTGTAAAATATTTTAAAACGAGGTTAAAGATTTAAATGAAATATGAATTAATTATTTTTATGGTGAAAATTATACAAAGTAACGATTTGATGAAAATAAACTTATATATATATATATATATATATATATATTATAAATTGCACAAATAACTGTTTCTATGTTTATTTTTATTTTACATCAACGTCAATTACAATGCCGAATATACAAACTTGAGATAAATGAAATAGATAAGCATATATTTTATTCTCTCATTGGCCGTCAAATGATTAAAAATAAAATCGTAATTACAATAATAGTTCGTTAAAAGCAATGAATAGTACGAGAAAAATCATTGCAACGCTTTCTAATGAATAAAAAATACCGTCTCATATAATTCTGGTTCTCCTCGTAGGTATGAAAATGGCGAGGAGGAGGATTGCTTGGAGTTGTGGAACCGCGATAGCAAAGGACTCAAATGGAACGACAGCCCATGCAGTTTCGAAACCTTCTTTGTGTGTGAAGTGTAGTGACATCCTTTATAACTTTATTCTCTTTTCTTCAATCTCTCTTCTTCGATGAGGAAGGACGATAAAACTTACTTAAAAAATTTTAAGCTCGAGAGATTGTCTGTCGATGGTATGAAATGGTATTTTATGCCGACGAAGAACGAAAAGAGGCTCGGTTGTATAGCAGGACTTTAAGAATCTCATGCGAGACTTTTCGGGCCTCCGTAACGATTCACATCAATTCGCACGGAAGAAATAATGTTTTATTCCATCGTCGAGATATCGTTTGCAAAAGAATGCTTTCTTAACTCTATATTATTGGTAAATTGACATCAACTCTTTTCAAAGAAAAATGCTCTTTCGTATTTTTTATATTAAAGCTATCGCGCATTCCACAATAGCTCATAAATATTATTTATTGATGAACGTTTTCAAATGCAACTGAATGATAAATGTTTTATCTCATAGCTTAATTTTATATAATTATCAACAACTTACACTCACATATTGTATTCTTCAACTTGATTACTACTCATTACGTGTTTATATATTATCAATAATATCTAGCTGATAAAATATACTCTGTAAAGGAATGTAATAAATTAAAGGGTAAAGAGCGATAATCATGATTAATACGATTCTCTTAAATCAAAAAACGAATATATTTAAAAGTAATTGAATTTTACTTTAACGATTACTACATAGCATATATCTATTTAATTTTATAATAAAATCGTATACTGTATTTTATAAAGAAGAAAAGGAAGTACGAAAGAAAGAAAGACAATTTAACGTAATGTTTAGTAAATAGTTGATAGATTACGCAAAGATATTAAGTATATATTGGGTATACATGATTTTTACTATTTTATTAACTAAATAATAAATAGAGTTACAAAAAAAAATTTGTATTTTTATATAATATTTTACTTTTTACTAATATCTGTCATACAAATGCCTTGCTTTATTTATTTTATTTTGAATGCCAATTTACAGTTCCAAACGTAGAATCAAATGTAATAAAAAAACATTGGATTTTAACACATATTTTAATAATATAAATATAACATAGTCCATTATAACTAACTCATGTTTTTTTTTTTATACATCTATTTGTCCTAATATTTCTATAGGGTACATGATAAAAATTAACAAATTTTAATAAAAATAAAGAAAAAAAAATTGAGTTTAAAATATGTAGAATAATATTTACATAAAAATTATTTGTATTTCTACCTTTCATATATATTAATTAATTTTCAAAAGAAATTTGTAAGTAAATTAAGTATTTTAAAGATGATTATGTAATACGTAAATTGCATTGAATTTACATTTTTATCAATATAAATGCATTATTTTTCAGTATAAATGTAGCTCTTATAAAAATCTAGGTGTGAAAAAATTTTGCATTCGTTATTGCTACTATATTTGAGAAAAAGTATATTGTTATTTAATGAATTACCTCATTTCTCATTCTCTTGTACGGGCCAGTATGAGTATAAAACAGTATGTATTGTTAGATTATTGTACGCATTCATTATACTTTTTGAATTTTATTTAATAATCTATGAACTATGTATAATTAAAATATTCGATTTTATATTGCAATACATTAATATTTAAGTGAATAGAGTAAATACATTATGTAGAAACGTTTATTAACCAATTAGAGGATGCAAACAAATTCAATCAAGATTCAATTGAAATTATTAAACAATAGTCTGTATACGAAAATTAAGTAGTTAACTAATCTTAAGTAGATGCGTATTTATACTTATGAATAGTTATTGTATACATAATAATTTGATTCTATTCAATTACATTTATCTTAAAATTGCTATATTCTAAATTTTACTTTCTAATAGCAATATTTTAATAATCTATATTACTGCATTTAATACCAACTATTTATAAGAACAATATGCTCGGAGTTATATTTCAATTAATATAGGTTTTTCTTCATTATTAATTAACAAATAAATTAATTATGTACTTTAAAATCAACTTTTTTTATCATTGGTATTTGATATATCGACTGTCGATAAATGGAATATTGTTGTGATCTGCAATAAAATTAAGATCTTATTACAGAGCTTGAAAATTTATAAATAAAAAATGTACTCAACTCTTTTATATGTTTATCCATTATTTAATTTGTTAAGATTGAACGTTCTTAATTTCATTTAATAAAATTATAAGATTCATTGTTATAAAACAATTTACAAAAATGCTGCTATATCATAAATTTAACAGTTTATTAAATGAAACCACTTTATTGACTTTACTTTCATTTTCAATGAGAATATATCTACTTAATTTGTTTTAATCAAACAAATAATATGATTTTAAAAATTGTTATAAAAAAACAGTCCCTTTATACTAAAACTAATTGACGATTGATGCAAAAATAAGTTACAATGTTTTTTTAACAGTCATTACATATATTAACGAGACCTTGTCTAAATAAATAGAAATTGATAGGATTTAATATTTTAGATGATCATTTTTTTGTTTCGTATTAATATATCTGATTATAATACGAACTTAAGCTTTAATTTTTCTATTTTATATATGTATAATTTTTTATTCAAATAAATTTAAATATGCAACCATCTATTTGCATTTCTTATTAATATGAATAAAAATTGTTATTTCTATTGATAAAATTCTTTGAAGATTTATCGTCAACGAATTTTAAGTACGTAAATATGTTGACAACTGTAAATTTTAATATCATAATTTAAAATAATTATATGCATAATTAATAAAATAATCACGTATTAAAAATTTGAATGACATTTACTTTTGCAATTTGTTTTATTGTGAAGGCAAGGTTTACGTAAGAAATACTCTTATACAGGTATATCAATGAAGGCCTTATATAAACATAGTGGGTATGTGTGGATTTACACTCTAGATAATAAACATTATTATAAATATTATTTTATAAATTTGTTCATTCGTTATAATTATCGTAAAAATTAATAAAACTATTCTCAAAAAAGAAATATATATATATATATGTATATAGAATTAGATTGCGACATAAGTAAGCAGTAATAGTTTGTGGTATTTTGATCTTTTTATAAATAAATCTAATAAATAAACTTCAAAAATTAATTATATTTTTTCACAATTCTTTAAAATAGCTTACAATAGAAATTTGTTGATTTGCTTTTTATTATACATTTTTATATAATAATAGTTTTAAAAATTTAGATTTCTTATTTGTTGTATAGATCCATTTTAACAAATAATGATATAGGTTTTCATGACATTTTAAAAACTCTTCATTATTCGATGCATTTTCATTTTCATTTCGTTATTATTCCAAATTTTGTGTTGTGCGTAAAATACAATATATTTTGGGAAATAGATAATTCCATTACCATGGTAAATAGAAAATAATTTTGAATATTGACTTTAATGCAGAAAATTCTTAAAAGGAAACATTTAAAAATTTCTTATTAATTTTTTATTGTTCCATTATTTATGCTTTTTAATTTTTTATTATTTTATGTATAATAAAATAACTTTATTCGATATTTGTATACGATGTTGGAAGAATTTTTTACTTGAATTTATATTTATTAGAACTAAATAATACCAAATTAATAGATGTAAAGTTTATATTTCAAATAAGCTAATAAATTCTATTACCAAATTAAATTTATTCATGAATAATTGTAAATTAAATAAGAAAACTTAAATTAATAAAAGATAATATTAATTTTCTGCATCTAAATATTCTACTACTTTAATTGAAATTGTACTTTTGTTGAAATTTTTTAAAAATATATTATTCAATAATTCAAAAAAACTAAAATCCCAATAAAAAAAATATGGCGATTACACTTTATACTATTATTCACATTAAATTTCGTTGAAAAACCATTTCTAAGTAAGTAAAACTATTTTTTACCATCATATAGGACTAAAAGGTAAAATATAACATTATGAACTAAAAATTCATTCGAACGAGATTATTTTTATGATTTATACTTATTATATGAAGATGATGATCTGATTATTTATAGTACAATAAGCTTGTCACCATAAATAAAAATCATATATTGAAATGCAAAAAAAAGAACATCTCGCAATTTACAATATTAAGGAAAAAATTATATATTGTTTATAAACACCATAATTTTTTATTATACCACTATTACGCTTCGTTGATCTTGCCAATTATAAGCACAAAAAACTGCTGCTTCACGGTCCAAATGTAAAAGTGTAAAGGCGACTCGATGGATTTTCTTAGATTACTCACACACGTAACATCTGTTACTCTTCAGACTACGCAATATTGTCAATTTCTTTTTTATCATATCCATTGTGTTTATTATTACTTGCAATGATTTTATGATTTAATGCCAATGATAGAGTAACTTGGACAAAACAATTCCTGGTTCTAATTCTGAGATTCTGTAAGAGTTACAATTACCATTAAAAAATTTTAAATAAACATATAATATTTAATGTTTTTAGATCATTATTAATTAGAGTTGTTATATTCATTGCATAACTATATTAAAATCATCATTTTCTCAAAGAATTAAATAGTGAAGTATAATTATTTAAACAGTAAGCAATTCATATACGATCTATAAAATGTTTTTTTATTCCTTCAATAATTAGTTTAGAGGTGGTCTATTAATATTTAAATAATTAATTATAAATGTGTGAATCGGTTTACTTGAGTGTAATAGTAATATTATTAATTAATTTAAGAAAATAAAATGCTTCCATTAATGGGACAACATTTTTTAATTAGCATATAAAAATGAAACTTTTAAATTTACATTGTTATTAATAATCGACAAATTAATCGATAATAATTAATAAATAATCAATTAATTACATAATAAATAATATAAATTAAGTGAATAATTTAAATATACTTTATAAAACATTACATACATATACTAACAATATCGTAATATACATTTTTTTTAATAATATAAATATTTCAAAGTATAATATAATTTTAAAATAAATAAAGGAGTTTTTCACTAGATTTATCAAAGATAATATATATTTCCTTTCTTTTTTATATTTTCAAAAACTTCTCTGTAGAATATAAATTTTTCTTTCTTTTTTAATAAGTAATTTGTAACATTTATTACATTTATAACATTTATTGCATTTATAACATTTATTACATTTATAACATTTATTACATTTATAACATTTATTACACAGGTTACAAATGAGATGCATTACATGAACATATTTATTAACGTTTAAAGTTTAATAGATTCTAGAATGGAGTACTTTGACTAATTGCGAATTTTTTAGA